TTCCACAGTTATTTGTCTTTCATGGGACAGCTTCTATCTTCACCCTAAAGTATTAAATGAAGGCACTTATTTTTCAAATGTAAAGAAGCGGCCTGCCTCTTACACTTCAGTGTAAGAGAAGTCTCCTGTGTTTCAGCAAATAATCTGTCTTAAAATATAAATTAAAACAAAGGAACTAGTAACTCTATTTTTTAAATGGTATTTACCCTGTGAAGCAAATTGAGCTAAAAACATCTCTTATTGCTTCCAAATTCCCTAGAATTCAGTTGCTAAATTTCCCTCCAGGATGTGATTCCCATTCTTCTCTCAATTAGCAAAATAAACAGTGCTATGATAAATAACATTATTTACTCAAAGTGATCAAAATCATTATGCGATTTTTTTTTTTTTTTTTTTTTTTTTAAGTCCCAGAGGCAATAAAGTGAAAACACGCTGTGATTTATTTGGGGTACTCTGAATGGTATGTTCTGTGTCAGCAGGCAAGGAAGTAATAGGATCAGGAGAGCAGAGCAGAAATGCAATCACGTCACACTAAATAATCACAAGGCTTTTAGTTTGGGTGGTGTCTTTTAAGGAAAAAAGGTAGATAAACATGATCAGCACAGGAGAGTCAGGGAATGAGGCACAGAGGGAAAACCCACAGCACACCATCCTATACAAGCACTTACTGAATCATCTCTGTGAGGGGGTGGGGGCCGGAAGACCGACACATCTCATTTATTTTTATGAAATGAGCATGAATCACTCACTGCTATCCCATGTTAAAATAGCCCTTGAATAATAGGTGTGGTTTAATTTAAAGAATATTTTTAAAAACATATTCCACAAAGCAAATGTTGGAGGAAAAACATATACAGAAGCAAGATAGGGAAGACTTGCTGCAGATAAAGTAGGACAAGTATTCACTCAGTCTCAACCCAGTCCCTTCTCCCTGGTTAAAATGGAAAACATCTATAATTTTAAAAATTACATCATTTTTTCAATATATGGCAAATAAGACACAGCATTCTGTAATTCCTATGATGATTTAGAGTATTAGGGGAAACAATGAATAAAGCTGAAAGTTTCAGCAAATAACATTGTTTTACCTCTGGACCTACGTGTTTTACACCAGAGCCAGGTCTGGATCAAACAGGTTAGATGAAAAAAGAGCTGGCCCCTACCTCCAAAAGGAGCCCATGTTTCTCGAGGACTTCAAAGCAAAACAGTTAACTGTTTTGTTTCATGTTAATTTTCACAAATCTGGTCTTACTGAAGTTTCAAAAGGGAAAGCTATTTCTGCAGTGTTAATGCCTTGCATAGGAGAGATCTATTTTCAAATCAAAGCTCTTAATAGCACATTTTCCAGTCCCCCCTCAAATAGATTTTTTTAAATTACAGAAGTCAGAAGAAACAGATCTTAATTGTGAAGCACAAACTGAAGCAGTTTAAAATTTGTATTGTATCTTAATATGCTGAATTAGCATGCTTAAGCTTTAACTAAAAAAATCCACAGACCAGCAATAAAAACATACCTTTCTACACACCTACACATAAAGGGTCTACTTCAACCTCCTCTAGCACTCTTCCACCCTTTATGAGATCCACAGAGATTGGGGCCCATCACAGATGGGCACAAGTCCAAAGATGTTAAGGAACTTGCATACTGACCATGTTCAGAAGCCAGATACACATTTTTAAGCACAAACATGCATCCTATACAACAACATAAACAACAGTTTCTAGGAAAACTGAGATGTTGCTAATGAATGCCCACTTCGAAATGTGGTGTAAAGCATTCTTAGATATTACTACTTCTAGTTACACTCTTGGTTTAGTTCAAGTCTGACAGTAAATTTCCTGTGATGAGGGGCAAGAACTTTTTGTGCAAAAGGCAGAAACTCTATTAAAATTAAGGAAATGATGACTACTAAAAAGAAACAAATAACAACCGGGTTTTCAGAAATTTTTTTGGGGGGGGGGAGTGGAGGGGTGAAGGGTGTGTCTGCAGAAGCAGCATTATCAAGAATATAAACCACAGGAAATTAACTGAGAAATATGACTAGAAAAGAAGGTTGCGTATGAAGAACAGATACATTTCCTGAAGTAAAAATACTAATATAACTAATAGAATAGGCGATTCAAGTATAATAGTAATATCTCAATTAGCTATTGATAAGGAGTTATGTGTAAGAAGTCTTACACCACCATTCAACTTTCAAGCCACTACAAGTCAAAACTACAAGTTACAGAGAAGTATTGTCAAAAGATAATGTCAAACTGTACAAGGAATGCTACTTATGGCACACCACAAAACCAAGATTTGTTAGATTCATCACTATTTTAAGAAAAAACATACAGAAGCAAAAGTCTAGTCAACAAGTTACAGGGTGATAAAAAGCTCCCCTTTTTTTCTCTTGCTGCCAATTGTTTGCCTACTCAATTTCATTAACAGAGGATGGAAACATATCCCAAATTGCCATTTCTTAGCACAAGGGCCGTCGCATAAAGCTTCCTAGAACACCTCTTTGAGGCTCTTCCAACCTTACACCCAAAGAAACCAGCTCAGAAACCAACAGGCAGGCAGAGAGCATTTACGTGAATTCCCATTTAGCCCATGAAGGTATTCATGTACGTTGTTCCCAAGTGAAATGAGAAAGGTCCCGAGTGACTACAAATGGGTTTCTGAACTGCTGTTAAACATACTAGAAGGTGGAAAACTTCAAGAGGTTTCTGCAAGTACAAGCAAGGTTAAAGGAGATAGTGTCAGGGTGGGTCTAAGACAGTGTTTGAGGACATCTGATGGAGGACAAATAGTCCTTCCTTTCAGGTATGAAATGTACCTGCCAAAGCGGAGAACAAAAGAATGCCGCTGAAATGTGAGAAGTACCCCAGAGAAAGTAAGTTTGTCAATGACACTACAAAAACAAACAGTATCACAAAGTCAACGCAACCTGAAGTTAATAGATACGGCTTATATCAGACCTGGCATTCCGTGCAGAATGGATATAGGGAACATTTCTTAAAAGCACAAATGTAAATACAAAATTTTATCAGAAATATAAAACACAAGGACAAAGTTTTGCCAGTCATAGAAAATAAGATTCGCATTATTCAAATTTGATTTGACTGCTAGCAGCCAAGGAGGATAGCACTTTGTTCCACAAAAATCATTGTCTTTAAAAGAAAAAACAAAAACAACAAATTACACCTGTAAATAGTAGGTTCAGAAAAAGAGAATTCACCTTTCTGTAGGAGCCACTTCCACATTGCAGCCTACAAATAATCAATATTTTATTTTCCTAGAGGAAAATGCGGGTAGTTTCAGAGAGCCCTTAAAGTGATCAGGACAACAGGTAACCTCAAGGTGCCTCATACTTATACCCTCCCTGAAAGAGTATTTCCAGTATATTAACAGGGATTTTTTTCTTCCCCAAACCCCCATGTTTTGAAGCTAATACAGTAATACTAACCAAATATTCTTTAATGATATTTACAAGAAAAGAAGCTAACACAAAGATGAACTTCTATGGAATTCCATGGGTGGGAGGGAGAGGGAATCAAAACCCTCAGCTGAATCTCCCTTCTTTCCCTGCCTTGGGAGAGAGAAAAAGAAACTCTCGACTCAGTCATTCAACCAAACTCTGATTTTAGCTCTTCAGACATTTCCTACTGCAGGATGACAAAACATGATTGAGTTTTGTTTTTATAGCAAGTGTTTTTTGCTTTTTCCTGCACTTTGGACACATTAAAAAAGTAAACAAAAACATCTGGACGTAGTTCTTTGGGCTTCACAGAATCTAACTGTTCACTGAGTTTTCAGACTTCACAGTCAAGAGTGTAAATATAATCAGACACAATTTAAAATGTTAAAGCTTAAGTTTGGCTTTTTAGACCTCATTTTTTTTGAAAAAAGGGCTTCTGTGTTTGCACTGTTGGCTTGCCCACTTGGTTAGTCTTACAGTTTTATCCTTTAGTTGCTTCCCAACTCCATATTCCAACGGCTTTTAAACCACGGCTTCATGTCGGTTAGTGGCCGACAGAGAAAACGGGCCAAGTGACTGCTTCACCCAGGGGAAAAGGGAGGTACAACTCAGCTGCCACATATTTTGAAGGACAGGGCTGGCTTATCAAACAACATGTGAGTCCCAGCCAGCCAAAGCCCTCTGAACCAGCTGCCTCAAATGCAGCTCCTTCCTCCAGACAAAAGACAGCAGATCCGATGCGCAGCAGGGGTTGGGGCAGACATCAGGGCTACACCAGAGAAGCAATTATATATTTTATAATGGACACTGGATACGCTGGGATAGGACTGTAGGCACAGAGTAGAAATTCTAAGCGACATTCCACTGTTCAGAGAATCTATTATAGTTTATGATAATTATTAGGGGTATAGATATTTTCAAATCAAGAATACAGAAGCAGAAGAGACTAAGTGGATTTCTGGAACAATCCCAGAAAAGCAGGGAGAAAGGAGTTCTGGGATAGTGCTGTTTTTCCTACTGAAGATCATTTTTTGTTCAGCTCTTAGGGGAAAATGACTTTCACATTTCTTTATCTTTGCTGCAGAACAAGAACTCAAGAACATCTAGGGTGTTAATGGGTACACGCTATTTTTCTATGACCAGTTAATAATGCCTGCACAGCTAACATGGACTGGAAGTCAAAGGTAACACACCCAACTACAAAACATGATGCGACTAATCATATTTCTTCCATTGTGACAAGTTCTGAACACAATCTGAAAATGACAAGCACTTTAAGAAGTGACCCAACATCATTTAAAACCAACCTTCTAAAATGGTGCTAGAGCAGTACTGGTAGCCCAAGAAGCTATCTTAAAAAGGATTTCTGCTGCCTTTGAAATACTGCATGTAATCAGGGATGCAAAATAACACAGGGAAATATGGCATTAGCAAAGTACCTACTTCTGTCCCCAGGCCAGTCAGGACTCAGTCTAGCGTTATGAACAGTTTGCACAAAAGACAAATGAATGTGATTATCCCATTCAACACGCTTACCTCCCATCCAAAGTTTGTTTCCTTTAATGTGCTCCTTTGTACTGTCATATAGGGTCCAAATCTTTCCCCAACTTCAATCTTCTTTTTGGCCCAAATCCCTAGCCCTGCCCCTGGAATCGAAGATTCTCTGAGTTCAAAATCTGGTGGGATTGGAATGTCATCAGGAATGTAGACGGGAGCTTCATAAGGTGAGCCCTCCTTGGGAGTGAAGTCCTCGCTGGTGGGAAAGGGTGATGGAGGTCCGACAGGAATGGGGGACATAATACTGTCCTCTGTTTCCTCCTCTGCACTTTCGCCAGCAAGGAGATCAGGGTCGGTCTCGTACATATTATTTACAATCTCGCTGTCACCTAAAAGGGGAAACAGCAGAACAAAACACACTGAAACACTCACGTGAACATTAGTTAATCTCTTCTTGGGACAAAGGTTCATAAAGTCTAGTTCGCATACTTTAAGGATAGAAGTAGTGGCAGAAAAACAGATAATCCTCACCTACAGAACTCAAGTAGAGCTGAGATAAGAATATTCATACTGGTTGCACAGTATTCAGAGCTATGGAAGGATGAGGTGGAAGCTACTGGCAGGCCTCTCATGTTATACTGGTCAGGGTTACTGTAGCCTTACAATGGAAAGAGGGAAGAAACACAGAAGTGTTCGAGGTTCCCTGTAACCATTTATTGTTTTAACTGGCCCAGTGTATTTTGTAGAGGAAATAAAAGAGAAATTAAGGTAAAATCCGACTTAAGTTTGGCAAGAACAGTTTGCCTAGCACTTGGATTTCTTGGGTTCCATGCATCACACTACAGAAATCTTGGCTGATGTGACCTTCCAGGTACATCTCAGCAATGTACCTTTTCAGATGCAACAAAAGCACCACTAGTTTGTAATACTGCTTTAAGACTAATGTGTCCTACATGCTTAAACAGTGAGCATTTTAAGCTACACTCTCAACCACAGTACAAGTATTGTTCCACTGAACTCTACAGGATGGGGATCTGCTTTGCAACAGTGCTACAATGGTCAAAGAAAAAGCTAGGAAAAAGCCGTACACTTTCTTCTATTCCACACAATGTCTCATAAACTAGACAGAAACAGATTAACCCAAGTAGTATTATAACATTATTCTTAAAAAAACAAACAAACAAACCAACAAAAAAACCCACGAAACAAACAAAAAAAAAACAACACAAAATCAAACACTTCAAAACATAGACCTAAATTGCTTATTTCATTTCATACTATTAGGGATGTAAGATTTTTGAAGGTGAGTCACTATTTCTTTTTTTCCTTTTTTTAAAATAATGATTTGTGTGATCTTTCCACAAAAGTATCAGCAGAACTGCAGTTCTTTTTTCCTACACCTCAACTTCTTCAGTTGTATAAGGTAGTAGGAGAAAAAAAAAAAAAAAACAAAAACAAAAACCAAAAAACACGTAAGAGGATTTGCACAGGATGTATAAATAAAGGCAAAATTTTCAATAGGAGGAGTTAACATTACTAGCCAGGATTGGTAACTGCATCCAGTTAGAAATACCATGTCCAATCTTTCATGCTTAGCATCTTCAGTATAATTACAGCACTGTTCAGCTCAGTGCCTACAAAAGACTGGGAATTAAATTCGTCCGGAGGGTAGGAAGAGAGCATGTGTGTGTGTGTGTGTGTACAGGGAAAACACGCACACACACTCACCCCTCAAAGTAAATACCCTTAATCCTGCAAGGATTTTTAAGCTTCATTTTCCACCAACAAATTATTACACTTCAGAGAATTACAAGTCAATTCCATTACTAAACCTGTAACAACATGCATCTATTTTCTGGTTTGATATTGGCTTGTACAAGCAAAAAATATTTTTCAGACATCCCTTCTTCTTCCATCACTTGCCAGAAACAAATAATCAGAGACATGTTTACCAGAATGCAATGAAAGAAAACTAAATAAGAAGTCTGTGAGCCCAGGACTTGACTAAGAAGTTTCAGAAAAACACTTTTAACTGGAAAATGATAGTCTTCTGTATCCAAAATACTTCATTCAGACACGCATTTCAGTGATTTCACAGCAGCACTCTCCTCACTGGGTGCAGTTCTGCTAAGAAACTGCCACATTTCCTCCAACCCCACTTACGGATCAACCAGAGAGGCCAATCCTCCAGGGTAGCTTTGCCGCAAGGACTCTTAGGGCTTCCTCCAGCTACTCCCTGTGGTACAGATGGGATCCTACAGGTCCCCTGGACCTGCAGGTGTAACAGAGACTCAGCCACATTTCCACATCAGGAGCCTGGACAATGCAGCCAGAGCTCCACTTTGACTCTTCCTTCCCCATCACAGGGCCGGTAAATTCAGGGAATCGTAGCTGAGCGGCCATCAGATCTCAGAACCCAAGAATACATTTAATTTTTCTATTTTCAGAAACAAACACTCCAAGCACTTGAAAATCAATTGTCTCTTTTCCTCCTTTGCTTTCCTGATCATACAAAATTTTGAAATTTAAGTCTTGTGATTACGAAATTAATTTTCTTTTTAATTTTTTTTTTTTTTTTATTTTTTACAAAATTCCCCAAAGATGGAAAACTCTGGGTTTTGACCAACCTTCCCTTGGGCTTCTGTACAGTGAAATTCCCACAGTCAAACCACATTCTGGTGTACTTGTGTTCGGAATACACTTATTCTGATGAAATGCAGATATTCTTGTGATGCTAGTGCTGAAAGTTCCTATTCAGTCTGACTAACCAGCCCTGCTTAGAAGAAAGCTGCTTCTTCAAAGAATTTACAAAGAGATAGAAGGGAAGATGGTTTATAGAGACTTACAGACAAGACACATAGCTGCTAACAGAGCTGGAAAATGAACCACAGGTCTTAACTGATCACCTTCATGAGGAAAGCATCCTCCTCTGCTCTTCAAGGGTAGAACAGAAAGGAAAGAGGCTTTCGTCTGCCAGATTGCCATTACAGTTCTTGTCTGAACAAGTACCGTCACCAGAAGTTCTATCTCACAAACACCTCTATTAGCTATGAATTGATAAGATTTCTTTTTTTGTCCCAGTAAGTGGACAAACCCAGAGCAGGGTAAATTGTGGAAGCATCACCACAGTCTGCAATCCAAACACAGGCCTACAGTCCCTGCTAACCAGGCTTCAGTTACAACAGAAGCATTTCCATCAGTCTCTTGCTGGAAAGTCAAGAACTTGAGTTCTTTTTAAGACTCCAAAAATATGCTACACAATAGTACATTATTTCCATTTATGAAAACTTGAAATGCTTTGGCGTTTTAAGGTTCGATGTTACAGGTCTGTAATTGTAACAATCGTTCTGAAACATTCTTTGGGCAGCCAAAAGAAGCAATTCAAGGGTGAACAGGAAAAGTATGCAAGCTGCCGTCTTAAATGAAAACAAACCCAAACCCCACGTCACTAGTTTCTCTTATCCACTGCAGCATCTGCATTCTGAACTATAAAACCTTGACGACTGCGATTTCCTGAGCCAAGCTGGTCTGCTGCACCAGAGAGCTCCCGCATAGCGATGCAGAGATGTATCGTAAACAAACCAACAGATTTGCAAATAGATACGTCATTGATAGATTTTTAAGGACAGAAAAGAGGGTTTGTGCTAATTCCATATGACCTCCTGCATTACTTAGATCACAGGACTCCTGAATTATTTCCATCTTCAAAATCAAAAGGTGGTACACAGCTTATTTTTTAGGCTGCAAAAAACCCTCTACTTTAAGATTTTCCAGCAAGGGCCAACAAGCCTTGGTACACCGTGCCACTGTTGCACTGCACACTACTACACGTTTGCCCAGCAGTGACTACCGTTAAGGGAAAAAGGCTTGTACAACCACCCCCCCACACACAAAGCACACTGTTCAACAGCGTGTGCTAATGGGGGAAGTATAAACCCCTTTGTCTCCTCTCTCCCTGGCAGCAGTCTGCCTCCTTTTTACCTTCCACATTCAACATCTCTCCCTTTTCAATTTTTGAGGATGTCACCTCTTAACCTCTTGAATGAGCTACATAGGATAGAATATCTTTCACTGAAATGTGTGTTTTCAACCCTTTAGAGACTCCTGACTGAACCACCTGTGGTTTTTCAACACTTTTTTGAACTATCTATATTAGAACTGGCCAGATGATTCCAGGATCATCCGAGTGCTAAATCCAGAGAGAAATTTTTCAAAGGAACTCCACTGAAGACAACAGACTTAATCTTTGGGATGCATTTACCTCTTCAGGTTGTTAGTGCTAAACAGGGCCTTTTACAGATTTTATGATCTTTATCTTACAAAGTATCATATTTTAGCATCTCACACTGTACTTAAGTGGACAGTTATTCAGGCATCGTAAACCATTTAAACATAGAGTTATCAGAACTGGGCTCTTTTATTTACTACATCTGAAACAAGATACACATATACATTTAGCTTCAACTTTCCAGCACACAAAGACCATTAATGAAATTTCCCTCTAACTAAAAAAGAGCATTTTCACTTTAATGGGTTCAGATTAGGAAGAAAGTAAGTTTCAAACATCTTCCCTGAAAGCTACTAGGAAACAAAAAAGTAATTACTATATATCTTCAAAGTTTTTGTCACATTAACCGGAGTGTTCATTATCATACTAGAATACTCTATTTGAATTAAACATGATGAATTGATATTCATATGCCTCATATCAAACAGAAGCAGAACTGATGTTACTTCCAAACATAGGGGGTTTAGCTGGCAAGAAAACTGTAGTTTTAACAGAAAGTTGGGTAAAATGTTAAAGTAATATTCCAAAATATCAGTCAGTAAGAAAATTACGATTCATTGTGTAAAGCAAAAATGGTTTGCATGAAGTTACATTTAAAGTTAGTTGTAGATATGCCATAATAAATCCATAGTTATAAGTCACAAATTAATCCTGAATTAACAAAAATACAGCAATAACAATATCCCACTGGCTAGTGCATCAGCTTTGTGGCATACAATTTCAGCCATTAATTGAAACTCAGCGTAGATTATTATTTCCTTCCAATTCTGTAGTTCACAAAGCAAAACGGGTTGTTTCTTAGTGTTGAAAAAGTTGGGTACTAAACAAAAGATACCCTATCTGTTGAAAGGGAAAGCATCTCAACAAACTGCCAACAGTGCTTACTCATGCACCAAAATATTATTCTAACAGGTAATTCTCAGAGCAGAACCTCTAGAAAAGGCATACTGACATGCAGAATCAGATTTAATAGAGTGAGCATTGCAAAGGAAGTGGCAAACAACCGATATTGATGAATAAACTGACTTGGAAAAAGGCAAGCTTTGAGCAGGTGACCAGCACTGACCAAAAAAAAAATTCAGCTGAGCTTTCCAGTTCTGA